AGTTTAACAGCTGTTGATATTGGGGTTTTCAGTTGTCCTACATGTTAGAGGAGAACAGCCACTGATCTTTGGAATTCTCTTCTATCTTACATATGCCTACACAAAGATTGAAATTGTCCAAATAGAAACAGAAATTTGAGGAAAATCCGATATTATGTTAACTCTTTCGAAAGGTTAATGTCTAGATATTTGACCTTGGTGACCTTAATGCCCATTGCCCCATTGAACGACTTTAGTCTCCTCTCGGTGCTAGGTCCTCACAGCTTATGCAGTTACTTGTATAAGTACCACTTATGTATCGACTTTCTACCTCATATTGTTACATTGGACCATAGGGATGGGTCACTCGAGTGTTAGTTCAATGGCACTAGGTAGATTTGGAACATCCATGGAAATTCATTCTGGAAGAAACATCATCATTCTCAGCTGAAGAAGGTTAAATATAGATAGGAATTCAGGACTTTGCGGTAAAAACTGCACGCTCTGCCATGTTTCTGTGGATCGTATTCATCCTTATGGATCATTATTCTATGCAGGATCCCATGCAGGGATTTAACAGTATTACATCAAAACATCATAGTTTCGTAATGAGAAGTAAAGTACGTATTGGATAGAGATGACTCGGTAGGTGATCAATCGCAGGTACCTGATATCAAGTATTCAACCATGTATCTTAGAGTTGGAGGAGACTTTGATATTCAACGACCATGAATAGCTGTTTCATAAAAGTTCAATAGAGAACACCAAGTATACCATGAAAAAGAACCTTCGAAGAGGTAAAACGATGAAAGAACGATATGTGTACTGGTACCTACATGGTACTCCCTTCAATAGGCGATATGGCAAGATAACTTTGGAAAAAAGTATCAGATAATAACAACCACTTTTGAACAACTGATTTATCGCCTGCTGCATAAAGAAGAAGCACATTTCTTCATCAAAAATTCCCAAAGCATGTATGAAAAAGGAGGTCTCAAGTTGGTCCATTTGGGAATGGTAACCTTAACATACGACCTACCGCTTCCGAAAAGCCCGCTGCCCGGACCATAGAAAAAACATGCCCCTGTTGAAGCACCTCCTTGTCATTTATTTTGTCTCTAAATCATGATTCTTTGCCATACCTTATCTATCGTGCACCAATATCGACTTATTACGCAGTAGCCAATGACCAAAGTTTCTGAATAAGGCTGCTTTTCCACCCAAGGCTCATCAATCTCCAGGCATCTTCTGGACGTTTATTCATCAACAAATAAGACGAAGTTCGATTCGCCAATACGACGCGCAGACGTGACTGGTAGAGTTTGGATGTCCCGGCTCAGGGCCTCTTGTATACACAGCAGACGGAGTGGCGAAAGGTGACTGGTATGCAGGCAGCAAGGCTTAAGGCTGAATCGCAGGGCCGGAAAGCTAAGGTAGGCATTGATGGGGTGTGTTGAGTTGGCGCAAGGAGAATGGGTTTCTGGGAAATGAATATGAGGGGCTAATACATTCGAGTCACAGCTTGCCAATTCATATCATGAGTTATTGGAGTACGTATCTGCCGGAGCAAACTAAATGGAACGATGCTAACAATGAACCTCGTGCAGAGAGTTCTCGTCGAAAGAACTCCGCTCAGTAGGCAACTATACTCTGGGGAGGTTAATTGGGAAGGGGTCTTTTGGGAAGGTTTATTTGGCTTCGCACAAACTCTTACATAGCTCTAAGGTATGTTCAAGGATGAAATTGAGATTTGCAAAATATCAGCTAATTCACCGGTGTCCTGAAGGTTGTGCTCAAGTCGGCCAACAAGGATGATTCGAATCTGGCTCGAGAGATACATCACCACCGACAATTCTTACATCCTCACATTGCTCGCCTCTACGAAGTAATTGTCACCGAAAATCTGGTATGGCTTGTATTGGAGTATTGTCCTGGTAAGTTCAATGCACAGGCAGGAGGAATTGGGCTAATAATGATGGTGCAGGCGACGAATTATACAATTATCTTCTTGAGCATGGTCCTCTACCGGTGGAAAAGGTACAAAAGATCTTCACTCAATTGGTTGGCGCCGTTTCATACGTTCACAATTCATCTTGCGTTCACCGAGATTTAAAACTGGAAAATATCCTGTTAGATAAATATGAGAATGTTAAACTTGTAGATTTTGGGTTTACTCGCGAGTATGAAGGAAAGGCGAGTTATTTGCAGACTTTCTGCGGTACAATATGCTACAGTGCTCCAGAAATGCTGAAGGGAGAGAAGTATGCCGGAGAAAAGGTTGATGTTTGGAGTCTAGGCGTTATTCTATACGCTTTGCTCTGCGGCGAGCTACCATTCGACGATGATGACGATAATGTCACCAGGACTAGGATCTTGACCGCGGAACCAAAATGGCCGGATCACCTTACAACGGACGCGCGAACTCTATTGAATATTCTATTATCGAAGAGACCCTTAATACGTCCTACTTTGTCTGATATCCTGACGCATCCATTTCTCGCCGAGCATGCGCCACAACAGCAAGCTATTCTGAAGCTACAGCGAGCGGCACCTTTCACCACTGCGTTAGAAAAGGAGACTTTGGAGCGGATGCGAAGTGCTGGTGTAGACATCGACCAGGTCATTGAAAATGTACTAGCGCAGCGATGTGATGCTTTGGCCGGTTGGTGGGCTCTTCTACTCGAAAAGGAAGAAAGAAAGCAGGCTCGGAAAGAACGGAAGCGCAAGGAACGAGAGGCAGAGAACCGATCCTCACGAAGACTAAGTGCTGCGAGTAGCCGCTTGGAAAAAATGACGCCAATTTTGACTGGAGTCGATGAAGAAGGGCAACCTTTAAAAATCAGCGATCCACCTAGGAGCAGAGGAAGAAAGGAGAGGCGAAGCGCCCATTACCCTGATCTTATACTGACTGATTTACCTGGGTTGCCCGAACATGGACAGTTCTCTTCGCCTGAAGTTCACACCCCTCCTCCGCCGCTTGAAAAAGATTCGATTCGTTCGGCAAGCTCATCTCGACATCGACGCCCTATCCCTCCCCCAAAAGAAGGCACCTTGCGAAGTGCTCGGTCACGAGGAAGCACACTGCAGCTAGTTACTTCTAATCATGATTTCTTACACCCTAGTACTAATGGCATTGTCAAACCTCCCCAACAGCGTCGCAAGCATCAGCATGCTATCATAAACCAATTGGCACATTGGAAACATTGGCTTCTAGATTCTGCTAGACGTGCCAGGTCACCTGGGAAGAAGACAAAAGCTAGTCGCTCAACACCAGATCTCCGCGAAAAGGCTGCTGACGGCTCGAGTAGTCCGAAGGACCCTAGTCCGCGACCAGTGACTTCAAAGTCTCCTACGATGACACGTGCTCCGATGCCACAATTAGGCGGCCCTCCTATTTCACGAATTCAAGGAGCTTCAAGTACCAAACGGCATTCATTATCTCCATCACCCGTAACCCCTCGCTCGACTTTTCAACGTCGACCGAGTAGCGGCTTGAGGGGACGAAAATCCACATCGTCTTCTGTTTCTTCCGTTCGCAGCATAATGCATCAACATACTCATTCGAAAGCTTCATCAACCTCATCCAATGGATCTGGCTCAAAGATATCATTACCAACTCGGAGCCCTCACCACTCTGTCAAAGTCCTACCCGCAACTCCTACCCTCGGCTCATTTCCTTCCAATATCCGCGTCGTTCGACAAACTCCGCTTTCAAGTTTCAATGAAGGAGTCTCATGGGGTGGTAGCAATAGTGCATTTGGCGCTCCCCTCGTATTCGCGAAACGGAAAAAGAATTTATTCAAAGGACCCTCGCTCAATACTACCTCACCTACCGCATCGGGTAGCGGAAACGGCCACGGTCACACAAGAACAGGCTCACACAGTAGAAGCACCAGTATAGTGGGCAGAAGAAGTGGCGAAATAATCCAAGAAGAGGATGAAGAAGAGATTGAAGAAGTCGATGTCTTTACCCCCGTGACTGGACCGAATGAAACGGAAGAGATGGTTTTCACCCCCGGTGACGTGCTGAGAAGGGATGATATGATTGAGGAGTCGGATAGAGAGAAGACACCTACTAATGGGGCTGTATAGAAGATGCCTGAAGTGAGAATGTTTTTGGTTAAGTAAAGGGGTTTATGGGGTCTTTGGGGAGTGCATGGGGTTGCTGCGTAATTTGGTGCGATGTGTTGCGATGTAGTGCGCATGTACATAACGTACATATTCTCTTGTACAATTTGTTTTCCCAAGTTAATCTCCCTTGCAAGTCGCACATCGTACATCGGTAATCGTCGATGGCGAGGAGCACAGCGCATATGGATGGATGGATGCATGGAATGGATGCATGGATCGGGCTGATATACTACATAGAAGCGTTTGGTTTTATCTGTTTTACTCGCCCATTCATTTATCTCTTCTGAGTTTATCGTATTTAGTTTTCTTCTTCTTTTCTTTCTTCATATACTCATATGTTTTAGTATCGACACCTCATCGTTTAGTTTCTTCTTGTTTTTACTTTACTTTTTACCTTTATAAAATCATCTATCTGTTTACACATATATATACACATACATGATGGCATTTTTCTTTTTCCTTTCATCATTTTTCGGGTACTCCTTTTTAGTTTTTTCTTTGATTTTGGGTTTGATTTTTTTGAGCAAATTCGAGTATAGGGATGTTTTTGATACCAATGTTTGTGTGTATAGCGAAGAGGGATGGATGGGAGAAGAGGAGAGAAGATGGTAAAATTGTACCGAGGTGTAGGAACGAACGATGGGGAGGCGGGGGAGATGAGAAGAAAGGGGGAGAGGAGTGGGGAGCGCAGACTGGGAGTGGAAACGAAAATGTAAAGAGTATCTATCTACATGGCGAAGCGAAGGGGAGGGGAGGAGAGAATGATGGATGAGAGAGAGATAGGGGGTGGAGGGGGAGGGAGAAACAAGAACTTTTATTTTCCTCGTATATATATGGATGGACGGATGGACGGATGGGTGTATGTAACCTGTATATACATTGTGTATAAAAAGTAATAAATGATTGTGAAATATGTACTAAATGGTTATGTATCAAGTACATGCTTGATCGTGGATTACAAATACTTTTATCGTGATTTACTTTTAAATATAATCTATGTGTAAGTAGGTTAACAAGTATGCATAGACAGCCAAAAATCGCCATCGACAGACAGCTCGTATCAGCGATTAAATACCCTTGACCCAACTTGATCTTCAGATCAAGTAACGCCACGCTCTTAACCTTAAGACTAACATTCTCGTATATTCCATTCCTGGTATTTGACCCAAAACTCCCTTCCCATTCAATCCCCGCCCGGTCCAGTCAAGCCAAGCGCTAATGTTGAGATCCCAGAAAGAAGAGTTCTTACCCAACGCCTCGTTATTATGTCTGTTCTATTTACAATGATGTTGGCTGCTGTCTCTGCGAGCGACCAGTTCGACTACTATAAGCAGGTACGAGGCGTGGTGGCGAAGAGCCTCTAGATGTTCTGATTCTATCAATACCAAGCGGTTGCATGGTGCGGTGATGATTGCCCCCCGATGGACCTAGAGGATGATGGTAATGAGTCCTGCGACGATTCACAGAGAAACCGCCCTCTGGAATATCTCTATCATTTGCATCTTCCCAATAATTTATGTCATCAGGGTTTCGAGCATTCCTAACAGTATTTTGATGTTCCGCAAATAGCATGCTTATTCTTGAGTTATACTGTTGATGACCGGCGTTATTTCTCGGTTGTCGACGTGGGGGTGGGCGAATAGAGCTGTCTGAATCATCATCGTCGTCGTCATCCCCGGCAACTTCATTTGCAACGCCTAGATTTTCGCCCAAATTGCTTTCCACACTAACATCTCGACTGGACCGTGATGCACTAGGAGACACACTCATTTCAGTATCACCATCCCGATCCATGCTGGGTAGTAGATCCCCATCATCAATGTCATACTCGTAATGCTCGTTCTCGCTTCCGTGATTGTTATCTGCGCCGTCGCTAGTTCCAGCATAATCGATTGGTGTGGCATCTCCATCCACGCTTGAAGAGAAACCATCGAAGTTTGGGTCCATTTCCTCATAATCATAATTTAGCATCCCCCGAAGGCCGCCCCGAGGCCGATCATCTTCTTCTTCGCCCTCTGAATTTGGGTTACCAATCGTATCCGAATCGCTTTCATCCGAGGCTCTTTCATCGTCAGTTGTAGTATAATCACCATAATCACCGTGCGCCGATCTGGTTGCATCGTCATCCTCTCCTTCATCCAAGGGACTCCAGCCACCCGAGGCCCTCAGCCTGCGTGCCTCATGATTGACCATCTCATCGCCAAACTCCGAACCATTTGCACTACTACCATTGTCGTCATCTGAGATCAAGATAGATCTAGAGGATGTGCTACCATTCTCCTCTGCTGAGTGTGAGATAGCTCTGGAAGGTGTTTCTGAGGAGCCGGCCCAGCCAGGTCGCGGCCGTCGGCGATTCGTAATCGCACCACCTTCATCATCAGAATCCTCTTCATCGTCATCATCGTCGTCATCGTCGTCATCTGATAGTATGACCACTCTCTGTCTCAATCTACGTGGTGGAGGAGCAACTGACTCGTTATCTTCGTCGTCATTTTCAATAAAATCTTCCAGTGAACCAGCGTCTTCTTCATCGCTATTGTCATGATTGCTGGTATCGGAATTTGTAGGATCTTCTGAGTCATCGTTCAAATCATCCACAGGATGACCATGCTGATGAGCGTGGTAATGATGAAGAACGTGTTGGTGAATTGGACCACCGAAAGCAAAAGGATTATGGCGAAAGTGGGAAACGTTTGGAGCGTTTTCTTGTCCTCTGTGTAATTCGGCTTCAAGCTCAAGCTCACGCCTCATATTTTCATGCTCGCGCTCTATATTCTCTCCATAACCAATGTCAAAATCCGAAAGATCGCCGTCGTCTTCCATATCGCTGAAGCCATAAATATCGTCAAATTCAGCACCACAAACACCGCACGTTGGACCGCCTTGATGCTCATGCCCACAAGAAGGACATCGCATAATTCCATCCGCTTCATCGAGCCACAGTTCCCCATGTCGTACTGGAAATGTGCCTTTGAACAATCCTTCGGGGCTATTTTTATCTTTCTCTACCATCTCAGTTTCTTCGGCATTCTTGATCTTGTGCTGTTCTATCGTCTCGTCGTCTGGCATTAGTTGACCTCTTTGGATGAATATCTCCACCATGTTTTTTATCTAGTGCTGATTAATATGCATCAATTATGCTTACGTCTTTTTTGGGGAGTTTCTTACAAGGAAGGCTGGAGCTGGTATTTGCTTCACTGGTGCGCGGCATTCTGGGCATGTCTTTTTTCTCTTATTTGGGATGAACCATTGACACAGACACTGTAATCACGTCAGCCCCTATCCAATTAACCAAATTCTCGAACCGCACTCACAGAATAGCAGTACGTATGGCCACATTGTAAAATCCATGGTTCGTAAAGTAGTTGGTCGCAGATAGAGCAAGTTAAGCATTTTCTCATGGAGATCAAATCGTCTTTTAAATTGTCTGCAGAAACCTGGGAGGAATGTCAGCGTCAGTGCATGCTACGAGGATAAATCTTTTCCAACGAACCTGAACCTGTGCTTTATGTTGAACCGGCTCTGCGTCCCTGGTTTTTATAATAGCTTCGAGCTTCTCAACGGATGATGCAGCCTCCCGACTCCTGGGTGTATTTTCGCGCATGCGAGATCCATGACTTGGCGCAGCTCTGGACATGACAGAGGAGGGTGAAGAATTCATGGTAATTTTCGGTACCGACGGTATCTTAGGGAGGACAGCTAGGATCGCTCGCCGATATATATTAACCAAGGTAGTAGTGTAACAGAATTGATATGTCTCTTAAATTGTTCGAAAGAAGCGCCTTGTCTTTGAAAGCGCTCAAAAGTGCCTTCTGGATAAGGCTGTAGGTTGAGATAGAAAAGTCAATGCTGGGTTGTGAAAGTCGATGAATGTTCGCACAAAATGGATTGTATTGTGTCCCGCAAAGATAACCTTAGCTCAAGCCTTATTTAGCGTGATGGGGTAATCGATCACGTGCACTGGCGTTGTGAGGCGCAGGACCCACATCTCGAAGGTCCACGGGAGCCCAGGTGGCTTTAGGGATCGTCTGTGGCACAGTAGAGTACATTCCAAGTCACGTGCATCATATCATAGGTAACCTTGGAAATCTCATGTCAAAGTGAATTGTAGATAGCTGTACCTTTCTATACCTCCAGGTAGGTATTGAGAGAACTTCGCAACTTGATGTTTCATGTTAGTACCACATGTCATCTGAATCTACCCACATTAGTTGCCGTGTTGATATCGTTCATCAATTCACTTCACGATTCTATCCACCTAACAATCCGGTATCCAAAACTCTAAAATATAAACCCGGATATATTCGAAATCATTGGTATGACTTCTTACAGATGATCTTTGAATTCCTACAAATCTAAATCTACTATGTATCTTCTCAAATCAAACCAAGCATTGCTCTATCTCGAGATCCACAGCAGTTGAGAAATCTCTACGCGATCTAATTGGTGTTTCCCACGCGACCGTATAGGACAATCAAAACATGAATCCCCTCATCATCTCACTCGATCTGAAAAGAAGCCCCCACAGATTCCATCTCAGCATTGCATTGGCTCTCTCAACTACGAAGCAATATTACGTGGCACCCATTCAACCAACCAACGATCGAGTGATCCAATGCCTACATCGTATCTATCTTTCAAACCACCCCCCAGTGACTTACAACCCCGCCCAAGATTTCCGGTACATGCAGTGCAAATTCATCAAATAAACAATACTAACAATCAAACCAAAAAGCAAGCCATCAACAGTTTATAAGTACTATTGTATTGTACTAACAAGAAAGGGACGAAACCTAAGATTCGAAGCCAAAGACTATGGAGCAAGCTCCCGATTAAAAGAGCCTATCTGATCTGCATCCAGCACGCTACCTTCAACTCCATCCCAAGATCCCAAGGAAATATCTCCATTTAAACGATCGGCGCTAAAGAGGGAATAGAACAAAAGAAATTCGTATCAAGTCATTACATTGATCCTGGCCATGCCCATCATTCACTCAGCTCTGACTTTCTTGTTTGGATTCGCAGCTTCAGCGCAGATCTCTCCCAACTCTCCTACTTTGACAAGTGATTCGTCGACGATTTCTTCGTTGAGATGGGTTAGTTGACTGATTTCGAAATCAAGAAAAGATTTGATGGCTTTGGCGTTGGTAGCGCCGGCTTTCATGGAATCGCGGAGTTCTTTGAGCATGATTCTGATGCGGGCTTCGGCATTCTCCAATTGATATTCGACTGTTTGTCCATACAGATCGGAAAGATTGGAGATGGGTCGGACAGTAGTGAGGACGGTGTCGTCACGGACACGTGGGGATCGTGGACGGAAGGAGGTGACCATGGTGACTCTCTCTTGTCCACCATATGCTTGCAGTGCTTGGTGATCAATGTAGCGACCTTGCAAAACCACAGCGCATCCCTATAGAATGTTAGCAGATACTCTTTGATGGGTGTAAGCGATCAGCCTTACCTTTGATGGACCGCGGACTTTTTTGATGTCGCCAAATCCAGTTCTCAAAGCAGTCTCGCCACCCACCATTCCTGTTGTGTCACTCATCATAAGAACACAAACGAATGGATAACTGTCTCTGTGCCAGCCGACAATGGGCTTCTCATCCTCCTCGCTTATCAAAACACTGCTATCATGGTTGTGTTTCTTCCCTGGAACAGACAAGTTGACATGGCCAATTTCATAGTCCATGACAGGAACAAGATCCACACCCGCGATCTTAGAGATAATCGCGAGAGTTTCAGGGTGTTTCCAAGCCTCGTAGATGAATTTGCCGTGACTGCGTAAGAAGACATGTTAGTCGAGTAATCAATGAAATCAAGAGGTTGTGTTAAAACTTACTCGGGTGCATAACCACGGAGTTGTTTGGGTGCGATATCTGAAGTATAGCTATACTTCTCTTGGACTTCCTTGTCGAAAATCTCTTCCCTCATGACATTAACAGCTTCTTCGCTAAAAAGGCGGAAGGGCTCAGAGACAGCGATGGGGGAAACACCAGAGGCGGCAGAGTATCCAATCTCTTCCATGGTATGGACATAGCTAGGCTCTTCATATTGAAGATGAGTCTCAGGCTTGAATAGCTTTCCGACAGCTGATGCACTCTGCTCGGAGGCTAGATACTTAGCGAAGGATCGTTTGAGGCTGTCTTGAGTTACTCTAGAAGAAGTGTAGTTTGCCACCTTAGGGAAAAAGTTTGGCTCAGGAGTTCCTGGTTGATGGCTTACGTCGATAGTGGCCATTTTTGATGTAGTGGACTGTTTTGGTATTGGGGAAATGTAAGTGGGTTGTGGATTTAAATAGCTGAAATTATTTTTCAAGCACTGATGTACTGTTATCGTGTGGTGTTTTGATGTAGATCCTTTTGATCTGAAAGATGTGGTGGTAGAGAAGATTATTCGGGGCTCGTGGATTTATGTTCAATACTAAATAGACTGTCAGAAAAGATGTACTAGCGTAGCACATGAACTTGATGCGTTTGGGGGAACATATGGCCGTCCACTGAATGGCAAGCTCAAAATTGTTCAGGGGAAGCGATCACAACAAAGTTGTCAGAGTTTGATGCATTGCCAGCTCGAGTACCACTTCTGAAGCTCGAGGCTTAACATTTTTATGGTATCCGAGGTTGAATGAACCTCATCGCTTGCCCGACTGAGTTTGAGCTAAAAGTCTCAACAGATGAGGAGAGAGAGCCGACGTAAGAAAGCGCACCCATGCCTTGTGAACAGCGCATTGAAACGACAGCAAGGAATGTGGATATACTAACAGATGAATTTGTCTGAGGTGCAGATATTCACTGAGTTGCTGACTGGTTTGAAAATTGTATGATAGCATAAAGGAATAATGTTTTATTGGTATAATAAAGGTTATTGCAAAGGTCGGCTCGAGAAGGACAACTCTTTTATATCTATAACACCTTTCAAAGACTTGAAATTGAAGCCCAATCTACGTCTTGTGTGGTGATCCATCGGTGCCACGATTGTCAACCAACCATCATCTTACACTACTATCAATCCTTCGTTAATTTTGCACGTCCTCGATGCTTCGATCCTGGCCGCCCTTACTATGCTCCTCCACACCTTTCTTTGGCAGTGAGTTTTCCCTCCGTAGGTGACCTTGGGGGTCGAATGTGGAGATAGTTTCACGATATCTTGGGTAAAATCGTCACTCCAGCATACTCCTTATCGTTGTTTAATATCCGGAGTGGTTGATCGACGTGCGTAGGTCTAGCCCAAACAGCAGAATTGATATCTTCTACTAAGGCGACGCAATAATAGCGCTGCACCAAGCGAACATAAATGCAGGGCATTGTAACTGAGATACATTTGCATGGAAACTGTTTCTGCAAATGGATAGTGGGAACCACACGAATAAAAAACGGGCACAAGATAACGTGGTAATCAAATCCTACCCTGACCACAACATCCAATCGGTGAGCTGCCTCAGTGTTATAACCAGCCACAGGAACAAGGGAATTGTATGCCAGTTCCATGCTCGAGCGTCATCAATTGTATGATTTAACAGTTGATAATGTATAGTTGGAGTACAAATTACCAAAGTTAAAAGACGGCAACCAATTATGGAGACAAGTAGAATCAAAAGTGGAGGGAAATCAATGAATGTGGAGGGCTAATGCATCACGAGTTGATCAGACCAGCTGGAAATGATGACCCAAAATGGAACACAAAACACTTCTTAGCACTATCGGCTATATTTGGCATGCTTCGCTTGATGCATTGAGCCGTTAACGGACAAAAGACAAGAGACAACAAAATAAAGAGATAAAATGAGACGCATTGAAGGCCGTAATTGAATGTCGCAATGGAGAGTTGCAATGGAAGAGTTCGCAGCGGGAAAAATATTATCTACCTGTATCGTTTGTCCATTTGAAAAGTCATTTTTCGTGGTAACGAATGCTAGACACGCATATAATGACCTTCTCAATCGAAATAAGGTTCGTATAGGTATATGCTACTACTACTGAAGTAGTAAGAAATCCACTTCAGCTAACAAACTGTTGTTGGCAATTGCCCAAGACCGTTCGACTCTCCAGAAGAGATAATGTCGTGTGATCGACATTTTCCTTCACACAAGAGACTGGCACGGTCCTGATAACGATATTGGCAACAAGAGGATCGTTTGTGTGGAGGTTGTGGCTTTTTGAGGGGAATTTCCGGTAAATTCGGCCGTTCATCGTGAGTTTATATGCCTGGTAGGCTGGGCCTATTAATGGAGTTGACAATGTGACGCATTGGGTTGATGATTGATAAAGTCCGTATCCATTTCCCAGTGATGTGGGTGATGATGAGTTGATAGCGATCTTTTCTTTTAGTTGTTGCTTTGTGGGCTTCGTTATCGAAAAAAAAGCTATATCATAGGCATGTAAGTTTGTGTGTAGAGTGTACTTATGTTGATGTCTGGATAGATTTGGAATAAAACATAGCCAGGTTGCAGAATACACTTGAATAGTAATCGGGAGGGACTAGTGGAGAGGAAAGATGTCTAAGATCATAAGTTCAAACATTTGAGTAAGAGAGACCAACTGAGCAATGTCATTTTGGTCTACCTCGCTAACTGCCGATAACTGGGCTTGGCTCGGTTGATAAGAAATCCCTGCACGAAGATAAGGATGGAACGTGGCTTGAGTGGGAAATATGAAAGTAAGCACGAGACACATTAGTCATATTTTGCATGTGACTTTTCGGCCGATCGGGATTGGTATCGGCAATGGTGTCGGGAGTCGGACATCGGGCCTTAGAAGGAATTTCTAGAAAGGCAGGTGATGAAACTGCAGGAAGCTTGGACTCTCTCGAGTACGGAGTTCGAGTCTACTTCGTACGAAATGAAACCAAACGGGTTACGCC